TCAAAACTCCTCTCAGTCTCCATTTCCTCTTCAGGGAAAGAATGGGCTGCATCTCAGAAAAATAAAAGTATTTCCACCTAATAATTGTGCTTTAAGAAGCTTGCAATGCATTGAAGAATATTGTCTTGATCTGTAGGTGGCAAATGTCAGCATGCTGATTTTCAAAGTGAAGAGGATGGGGCATGGAAGGCTAAATTATACTCTTGCAGCTATGAAGCCCTTTTGTGGGAGAACTCAAGCAGACTTTTTGGAATCATTCCAGTTGTCTTTCCCATGAAACATAGCAATGTCAAAACTAAATAATTTACAAATAAGCACTCACTCCACAAAACAATGTTGACTTGATTATACTTCATTTACTATACTAACCTTGCAAATAGATCCTCAAATTATTAGTTGTTTCTTAAAAATTTATTCAGGGATAATCTCCCCCTTAAAATCAGGTTCCACATTGATGACACCATTGTGTACACAGCATTAGTAACATGATGTCATCTTTGTAAAGGTTATTTATAAAAGATCAGACTAAAATTCTGTCAATCTTTACTGTCAATGCCATCATCATTACTCTCTGGTGTCTGTTCTCTATTTCTTTACCAAATCATCAAGGAGAAAAGACAGATCTCCTTTTCCAAGAGCTCCCATAGAGAGGATCCAATCAAGAGGATTCTTACAAAGCCTCTCTCTAAAGCCACATTCAGATGTGTTTAGGCAGCAAGTACATGTAAACTGGGAAGAGATATGGCTTCATCCTTCCTAGATGCATTTAAAGTTGAATTCCCATGGTTTGTGCATCTGCAGTCTACTCAAAAACCTTGCCTAACTGCCTCCTTCCTGGCCAATCTTTCTTTTTATTCCCATTCTCTGTCTCCAGACTTTCCCACATTTCCACCTTATCCTCAATCATCCCCTCCTCCAAGTCCAAATGGGTAATATGGCCCTGACTCTACTGTCACAAGTCTTCTGGATGGAAGTGGTACAGTCACCACTACTACACCGCTAGCCTCAATCATCATTTGGAAGAGAGGTAATCTAAAAAGAAAATTAATAGTGTTGAAATTAAATTAAAAATCTGGAAGCATTTTTCAAATTCATTGAGAAAAGCAGTTTAGAAAGGGGTAAAATGAAAATCTTTTGATTCAAGGTCTCTAATATCTATAATGTTAATAAAAAACATAGAACAATAATTTCATTATAACCTGGTAACAAAATTTTCCAATTAGCCAACCAACATTAATTATGATGACATAGCTTTTTAATGGATTTTCTTTCCTTTTTTTTCATTCAATAGACATCTGTAAAATACTTGCCATGTGACTGGCACTGTGATAAGTAACCTTTGATTTCTTTTGCAAATAAATTCACACAATCCTCTTTGAGTCTGTTCTCTCCTCATCACATCCTTGATTACATGTGACCAACAGAAGATATCTGCAAATGACTGAGTACTAAGACTATGAAACATTTCTGAACTCATAAACTTATGTGACGCACATGAGGACAGAACCAACTGGCAATTCAGTCTAGGCATGAATTCAATTACAAATAATACAAATGTTTTTCTCTACATAAAACTGCTCCTGTAAGAAAAACAATGATAAGAGCAAAGGCAATGACAATAATAAAGTCCAAAGAAAACAAAGCAGGTGCAAACAGAAACATACTGCTTATAATTTAAGAAGAATGAAAAACATCACACTGAAAACAGTCATATTCTAACCTCTGAGGAAATTTTATTTCAATTTTTGCAAATTTTAAACTATTTTTTTTTCTAAAGCATACAGCTGAGGTCAAAATGGAAACCTCTGCACTCACCTCTGAAAGTCTTTTATATATGTCATGACTTAAAGAACCCCAAGAACCAGACACAGGTGCACACTCCTTCAGGCAGTCTCTGTCCACATCCACTTTGTATTAATCCCCAGGTGAAATGTCCTCATTCTGCACAGCATTTCCAGATCCTTCCACTAGGAACTCTCTCTCTGCTTGTTTCTCCTAATACTTCTTTTGCAAATTATTTGTGCCTCTCATAACACCACAATTTCTCCTATGATTTCTTGGTGTATGTCAGTTTCTATCAATGTGATACGTCACTTTAGGTCAGCAGAGATGTTACTCATGATGCTTCCACTTGTAAATGTTCAATGATATGCGATAAATCAGCAAATTTTATTTAGTGAAACGTTCAATATTTATAGTTGTCATAGAACAACAATTTAGCTTTTAAAAATTAGCAAAATCAACTAAGATTCTCTCATTGCGTTTACATTCAATATTGCCACTGAAACAACAATCTAGCCATTAAGTTGTTTTAATATCACTGTTGTGCATTTTTAAACAAACATATTGTCCAAATTTCTCTTTGTCTCTATCACCATGGCAACAAAATTTATACCTACTTTTTGCATATTAGCTGCTAAAGAAAGCTCAGAATGGTAAGACTGCTGGTTGGTATCCCAAATATAGCTTTTAAAAAATCTCCATTTTCCTTTCATTCCTAAATTCTTTGGTGACAATAAAAAGCAGGAAGATTTTTTTTCCATACTGCCTTATCCATTAGGAGTTAAAATAGCAATATGGCCTATAAAAGTCATCACATTTGGCTAAGACACTGAAAATAACCCATGTCTCCCAGCATGGTTCCAGCAAAGACTATTAATATGATCCTACTGAATAATGTTAACTGTTAGCCAGCTTTACACTTGGGATGCTTTCAGGATTCAAACAGCTAAGAACAAGGATCACAAACTAAATTTAAAACACTCCACTGAAAATGATATTAAACTGAAAACTATAAATTAAACTTGTTCCTAAGCAACAATCTAAATAGTCAAAACTTAGTGAAAACACTCACTTTCAAAAATAGCCTACTGCTTTGGAGGCTCCGCTGGCTCATTACTGCCAAATGTATATATAAAAATGCACAATATGTAAACCAATTTGAAATGAAATAAATCTCTAACATACAAAAAAAGAATTGCTTGCTAATATTAAAAAAAAATAAGTCCTGGTTTAAAAGAACCCAAAATTCATACATATGCCTTTGATTTTTAGCTATTAGATAAGAAGCAATTATGACATATTTCTCTGCCTCTTCTTTAATGTAATCTATCTATACTTCAAAGGGATGATAAAAATGGACCATGCATTTTTAAGTCAATTTATTTTGAAAAATATTATGCCCAGTTGTACTGCATAAGGCAGCAAAATATCTTTAAAATCGAGTTATTTTTAAAAAACTATCAGATTGAGACTTTTGCTGCATCTGAGAACCCCAAAGGATTCTATGCAAATAACAAAGGAGGTTCATTTTCACGTATTTTCCATGGTTATTCCCATTGACAAGCCTAAAATCATCAAATCCCCAATGATCAGCAGTGAAATTCAGACTCCTAAAATTTTTTAACAGAGAGGGGACACTGACCTTGTTAATTCCAAAATCCTCTTGTAAACAAGGTGGTGTTTACAATCTAAGGAAACTATATGTCAGCTACACATCACTAATCAGATGGCTGGGCTTGGTTTAATTGTCAGGTGATTAAAATATTGAGAATAGAAAGAAGCTCATTCTACATAGGCTAAACAAACAAATCCAACCTTGCTGGTTTACAACATACCACCTCCTTTTCCTTTCATTGCCTTTCCCTCACCATCTTTTGAGTATGTAAGTACCCAATCATTTCAGCTTCCCAGAGAGGTTTGTTGTTTTAACATCTAGCTTTCTTATTATACCTTGGAGAGGAGAACTCAGAGAGTGAAAAGATTTCACCATAAATCTTTTAAAACTCCACATTTTCCACACTAGGGATGAAAATTCAATTTTCGCAAAAGTTTGAGCTCCAAATTTGCCAGTTTCACAAGCGGAAATCAGCAGCCCTCCTCCTCCGTTTCTCCTTTCCTTTTCAAGCACAGCTCCTCTCACTCCCAGTGCCTTCCTCCACATCTCTCCTCTCCCTCTCCAGAAAGCCCTACCTCCGGAGGTGGGAGGAAGTTAAAACAGCCCGTGCTGTTTACGCCCTGCCCTGCCCTCTGCTGCCTCCCGCAAAGACTTCTCTCAGGTGGTGGGAGGAACCGAGGGGGCGTCCACGCCCGGCTCACTCCATCCCACCCGGAATCCTCAGCCTCAGCCGGAGCAGCGGGATCGCGCCAAGAGTGGGAGGTGCTCCCAGATCTGCCTTTCTTTAGAGATCTTTGCAGCTCCAGAGAAGCTGGTTTTCAAGCCCCGATAAGGTTTTTGCACCCAGGAAATGTGGGTCCAGCCCTCATCAGGGAAAAGGCTGGAAAACACGAGCAAGTATCAATACATGGATATATTCATGGTGCTAAACACAGGATGAGCCATGGGAAGCAGCCCATTTGGCTTCCAGACCCCAGGTGAAAACAATATCCAGAAACCAGGTGCAGAACCTCCACCTTGCCAGGGCATCGCCTCTGGAAGAACGACACCACCACCACCAAGTGATGGAGCAGCAAGCAGCTACCTAAAGTGCTGTCGCTCAGCTGCAGCAGCGCCCACAGCTGGGCGCGGGCCTCTCCCAACTGGCCTCCCAAAGGCACAAGAAGAGAAACACACAATGGGCATCCCCACACCTGCTTGGCGATGGCCCGCCTCCCTCTCCCTGCTTTCCTGGGTCCACTGAGAGGTGCCAGGCACCCCGGGGACATGCGCTCACGGCCACGCGCGCAGCGAAAGGTGAACAATGGGGGGTCAGATTCGACAAGAAACATACTCAGCCCTCGTTCCGGGTCAAAATGCCCCCCAGTGGAGGGAGTGGGCGTAAGGGTTGCACAGGACACGCACAGGGAGCCCTAAAGGAGAGAAGGGATCCCTAACCCGGGTGGCCGCCCCGTCCCACTCAAACCACTCTCTGGCCCTGGGGGCTCCCGAAGAACGGGACATCTAGAGGTGTTCGGGATTAAGGAGCGTCCCCGGGACGGGGACCGGGATCCAGCTACCCGCGTCTACGCACCTCCCGCGCCCACCCCGGGAACTCGGTTACCGCCGCCTCCGCCGTAGCCCCTGCTGCGTCTTCGGGGGCGCGGGACAAGTCGGGCTCGCAGCTCGCGCCGTCCGTCGCCATCTTCCTGCTCTAGCGGATCCGAATGCGAGCTCGGAGCGGCGGCTCGGGGCTCAGCCCTCTCCGCGCGGGCGGCGCTTAACCCGCTGCGGGCCGCGGGCGCTCGGAGCCGGGCCGCGGCACTCCCTCCGCCCCTCGCCACCGCCCCCGCCACTTAACCCGCGGCGCGCCGGGGCTGCTCAGCCCGCCCCGCCCCGCCGCCGGCCTGCGCAGTCCCCGCGCGCGCCCGCTGGGGACCAGAAGAGGGACGCGACCCGGACCCCTGTGGGGCAGCGCGCGGATGGAGGAGCCAAGGACACCGACGCTAGAAGAGATGAAGGAAAGAAAGTGCCCACAAGGCGATCTCCAAGCAAGCCTCCACCAAGCCCGCGCCGCACAGCCCCGATTCAAAGGCAGGCTCCTGACTCTGAATTCTCTAAGATGAAGGGAAATCCTTCACTTAAGCTCCCTCTACCCACTCCGCCGTCCGCCAATTAGAAATTACTTAACGAACCCCTTCTTAAATTTCTTTTTCTTAAATTTTCTTGCTGCCAGGACATTTGTATCACCTTTACATATGTCTTTTACCCTCTGTGTACATACACCTGGCTTTGTTTTGTCCTGTCATCGACTGTGGTTCTTCTCCCCAAACTATCAACTCCCAGATGAAAAAGACATGTTATCTTTTAGTGCCTCTCATCGGGTACCTTTCTATGCAGTCTCCTTTTCAAAGAAAGCTAAGAGGCCCGTTTTTGTTCTATGGACTCCCAAAGAAGAGGCCCTTTTTTGTTCTTTAACTCCTAAGTCTGATGTCTCTTCTGAAAAACTTAAGTGTTAAATGCCATAGCTTTTTAAAGGAAGGTTAGAAGAACCTTATGAAAGAGGTTAGAAGACTCCCACCCCTGCATGTGAGGACACGTGGATGCACACACACACCTTTGTTAAATTTGATTCTATAGTGCAGAGTGCCTGCCTAGCACGAGAGAGGCCTTGGCTTCATTCCCTCATATTGCAAAAGGGGAAAAAAAAATTCTTTGGGAAATACAGGGCTCAAGAATTTAATAAGATGAGTGAGTTAGGCCCAAACATTAATTTTCCCTTCCTGCATCTGATTCAGTGCCTACCCTTTCTTGCCAATTTGCAGAATGTGAAAATCTATCACCTTATCAAGACCATATGGTAGAGCCCTTCCCAAATCTCCAGATCCCAGGAACTGTGTTGAAAGCACAAAATCAAATTGAGGCATTCAAGCTGGGTCTCAAAGAAGTAAAATCAAACCACAATGAAATCTTGTACTTGAAATTCTGGAAGATGAATGACTGGAATGTTTAGTCCAAGGGTTAGAGACCAGATCAAAAGCTTTTTCTTTCTTTCTTCCTTTGTTTTTTAAATGGAAGACTCCTAATGAAAGGTTTGGACACTTTAATTGTTCCACTTTCCAAAATGGATCCAAATATGACACAAACCAGACCAGATAAAATCTGGGAAGACCCCCAAAAAAGGGTTGATAGATAAAATCTAAAAAGTTCCCTCACAGTAAAGAGAGGTCAAGAAAGAACTTTCACCTGGAACTCTGGGGTTAAGGGTCAGAGTCTTAGAAATCACCTGCAGGCAATTCTGTGAGCAGAGGGCTCAACTATTTGTTTTCTTTGACTTTACAGATAACTATTACCTATCTCAGCCATTTGGTTTCCATGGTTATTCATCATTTTCTTTTATCAAACATTCTCTCTAAAATTGCTCAATATTAGAACATCTAGACTCCTTATATGAAAAAATGAAAAGCATTTGACAGTAAAAGATACAGAAGTAATAGTAAATATTTAAAGTTAGAATCAAGAACATTTCTTGTTCTTTTCAAAATGCATATTCCCATATCACAAGGCTTTCAATTTTCTGGATACTGATGTTGAATTACTACTCAAGAAATTAATTGGTTTACTTCTGAAAAAAAATAAACAACACACTTCTTAGAATTAAGAACTAGGTATATGAAGTGATGATATCTCTGGAAACAAATTTCATGTATTTTATTCGTGTGACTCAATTTTTTAAAATCATTGGGAAGAAATGGCTTATATTTGTGTAAATACAATTAAAGCAAAATGCTATCAGAGAGGAGTGATTTTTTTCCCCCTCTCACCAACCTATGAGTGTATGGAGACAAGCATAAAAAAATCACTAGACAGCACATTTTCTATCAAAATTCAGGATCTCAGGAGGTGAATCCACAGCATTTTTTTCTATCTTAAAGCTGCCACTGCTAAGGGAATGGATGAGCATCCAGCCTACATACAGCACAGAGGCAGCACACTAGGAGTTAATTTCCTCACCAGTAGCCTGGCCTGGGGCTGCTTCTCCAAGAGAGGACACTGGCTGGTTTAAATTCTCTCCTGAGAATTATCCTGATTGTTAATGCAAATTAACTCTTTCTGAAAGATTTTTTCCCCCCAAAGACAGCTTCTATCACAGTCAAGCCAAATACTTATGAAAAGGTAGTAACTTGATGGTTCCAAAAACTAAATCTTTTGAAACTTTATTAAATAACTAATAATAGTAACAATAATGAAAGACATCTTAGGGCTAGAGTGAGATGGCAGGGTATAAAAGAAGAGGCAAAGAAGTATAACTGAAAAAGAAAAACTCTTATAACAAAAAATGAATAGTGATTATTAATAAGTAAATACATTTTGGCAATAAGATAGAAGGAGAGATATTGAATATATTGCAGATAGAGAAAACTAATATTTACATTATTTTCTCCTTTTAACATAAAGATGATAATGTTGATGTTCCATTGACAAAAGAATTTGAAACTAATTATTTTCCAAACCCTGAAATAGAGGTGTTTGAGTCAACTATTGCTCATACTTCAAGGGTCTCTTTTAAGACCAAAGAAATGAGTTGTTTTAAGTTAGGAATGCAGACAATAGTTGTGGAGCCAAGTGGTTTTCTGATTAAACCATGCCCTGGGCCTCACCAGCCACATCTTCCAACCACAAAACCCAAAACTCAAGAGTTAAACATAATGATGCAATGGGATGCTTCCTTCCATGTGAAAAGATAAAGGAACCCGTACCCTAAAACAGTTTCCATCAGAGAATAAGAATCCTTTATTTCAAACAACAGCATTTATGTTAATTCTGAAGAGCAAACCATATGTTATTATGTTTTAGTATTGCCAAATGACAAAACTACTGAGTAGCAAATCATTTCTGACTATATCCAAAAGGCTATAGTTAGACAATTTAAATATTCCAGCCCACGCTTATTCCTGTATACATGGGGGCGACCAACCTAGCAAGCCCTAAATCTTGGCAACAGAAATTCTATGACAAAGAGTGCAAATGAGCTCCCAGTACCCTGTACCTAACACATGCTTTTGAAAACAAGACATTGCCAGAAATGAGTTTTCATCTGATCTAACTACATTTCCTTATAGTCAACTTGTCATTATCTACATGTGCTTTAGGGTCTTTGTGGATTTTATTCAGTAAATTTAATTCTAATCTAGTTAGATACTCTTGTCAACAACCTATGGATTTGGAAAGCCTCCTCCACCAACTGTGGTTGGCATGTGCCAAGGAAATGAAAGTTATTTTTACCTAAGCTAAGGCAAAACATAATTAGGAAATCAAATCTGTTATGAGGAAACAAGCCAAAACTAAATGTAAATGATCATTATCATCACCCCTGGCCCATTCTATTACCACCTTTAACCAGGAACTATATCTGGTCACTCAAGTGCTGAAGTGATGTGTAAATATTAGCTTTTGTTGAAAGGTTAAAGGTACAGTAAGAAAGTGCTGGGGAGTGATGTTGGCCAAATTGTATTGCTATATTGTGTGTATGTATGAATATGTAACAACAAATCCCATCATTATATACAGCTATAATGCACCAAGTTTTAAAATGTGGGAAAGGAAAGTACAGTAAGAACATTTTTCCTCAGTCCAGTCAATCTAACAGACATTAGGGCTAATACAGAACAACAAAGTAGAGTTATTTAGTACTGCTGAGTGTTTTTAAAATTTTAAATCATAACTTGGTGGTTTGGACTCTTATCTGCAGAAGTCATTTATAAGAGTAAGTTTCAGTGTAGAGGATGTTTTAGTGCAAAACCATTATGGAAAAACAATTTTAAGAAAAGAATCTAGCCTGCTGCTGCCCCATCCACCTGAATTGGAAGTGGATCTGAACATTTCTGTTTATTCAGCCTCGTTAGCTACCCCACAAGCCTGCAGTATATAGTTACCAGGCAACCACAAAGGCAGGGTGTTTATATCATTAGGCATTAATTATAGCAGAGCCTTATTTTTCTTAGAAAGTTTAAAAACTATATAAATAGGTCATGACATTAGACCCCTTTTCCTCAGATTAGGAGTGTAGAGCCATCTATAAAGCCATAGCTGAGATTTTCTTTTACCCTAGGATATATTTTGCTCAACAGAGAAGGAAATTCTGTTTGAAGAATTAATAAGGAATTAAAAGATGATGGCTTTCAATCTTAATTCATACACAGATGGCATTTATGTTTGAATTATTGAGGGTATACTTAGGATACAAAAGCAGTAGAAAAGGTATAAGTATATAAATTTATATGGTTCTATGTAAAACTCTGAAATAAACCAACATTCTTTTGACAAACATAATCACTTGATGTATACTTAAGTTATTGGAATTTCAAACATGTTTAGGGCCTTTTGAGACATAAATTTCACCTTATGCTGTCCCAACTCTCACTTAATGGTAATAGTTATTTGTGTCTGTTAAGACACTTTTTGATTAACTCAGGTCAACTGGACTCATTTAAAATCACCAAGAACTTTTATGACATTTGAAGCTGAATAACTAGTAAATGCAAAGTACAATTTAATTCACAATATTTACAAAACAATGTCATGGCTAGAGTTGAAGACTTGATTATATTTATGATTCAAGAACTGAAAAGAGGGCCTGGGGTATGGCTCAGTGGTGAAGCGCTCGCCTAGCATGTGTGAGGCACTGGTTTGATTCTCAGACTGCATATAAATAAATAAAATAAAGGTCCATTGACAACCAAAAATATTTAAAATAAAAAAAGAGAACTAAAAGAAAAAATGTGTGGGGATTGCTA